TCGAGAATAAATCTAAATTGAGAAATATTTAAGTGATAAATATTGAAATACTGTTAAATTGAGTTAAAAAGTAAATACATTTTTTGGTACCGACTGACCAGGATCTGCGAACACTTATTAAGGAAAAATAAGAAAATTAAAAAAAAAAAAATAGTGAATATTTTGTTAAGAGAATTTCCAGGAACAAGTAATTTTTGTGGGAAAAATAATATGATAAAGCCGTGGGTTTCTTATCATAACTATAACAAGATCAATGAGATAGAATCACGACTTAAATAGTATGGAAATAGGCAGTGGCCGCCTACTAAATATGATGGGACGTTAAAAAGAACCAATGGAATTCAAGATAGGACATTAGGAGTAATAAATACATAGATGGGAAACAAATTTAAATTACGGGAAAATGGAAGCTACAAACGAGAATTCGGCAAAGTTTGGGGTCAACCATAGTTAAAGTGACAAACAGAAGGATAAAGAAGAAGACTTATAAATGTTAAAAAATTGTTTCCGTGTTTTTTATTGGTTTTTCATGTCTTTGTTTTTTTTAAGGCTAAATAGTAATATATTTTAAGAGTATTATTAACATTATTAATATATGTCAATCAATTGATAGTTGATATTTAGAAAAATAATATATATATATTGATTGTTTATCCTTATTATTATTTATATTTATTGAATCGCGGATTGATTTGGGGAATATTTTTTTGTAAAAGATAAAAAAATAATGGACATATTGTTTTTTTTTGATATATATATAAATTATATATTTGATAAAAATACTTATTTAAATTGAAATAAAGATTAACCAAAAATCGAGAATAAATATAAATTGAGAAATATTTAAGTGATGAATATTGAAATACTGTTTAATTAAGAATAAAAGTAGATACATTTTAGTTTATAAATTCATATTTTAATGAATGTATGAGACAGTTGCGTAGCTAGGAATTTTTCTTAGAGGGGGTCTATACATATAAAATCCTGGGGGCTTCGCTCCCAGACCCCTTTTAACGGCCTACGGCCCTTTTCCCCGGCCTTCGGCCGGGTTTATCTTAAAAATCATAACCACATCTTCGACAATATATAATAAATATGTTTTTTAAATGCATGAATATGTTATTCTTTATAATAATACTGCCCAGAATAATTTCAATAGTAATATAATATCATTCCACAAACATCAAAACCAGAAAAATATAAATATTAATGGTATTTATTTGATATAAAATCACTTTCAAGTCTTTTAAACGTATACTCTAAAAAAAAATTTGTTCTGGGAGGGGTCCAAACCCGAAAACCACCCCCGAAGCTACGCCACTGGTATGAGATAAATCATTATATATATTAAACATTTTTATAATAATAAATATATAGTGATAAAATAATTACCGCATGATGGAGCCTTTATAAATTTTGTAACAAAATTAAGCGATTTAACAACAAAATATGAACATAAATTTAAAAATGATGTAAAAGTTTTTGGAAGAATAAATTAACGCGTTACCGTTACCTTTACAAAAAAGGAACGCGCGTTATCATGAAAATATAAAAGCTTATAAAAAAAGGGAGTTTATTTTATATCATGAAAAAAAAATTACTGGCCTAAAAAATATTATATTTTTAATTTTAAATTTAAACATTTATTTTCCTCTCAAAATGATGAAATAAAATTATTTTTATACGTAACATAAGTTTAATTAATATTTGGAAATGATTAAGGGAATTCCTAATCTGGATAAACCCTCTGCCAAATCTGGAAAAAATAGGCACACAAACATTGCATCCTCTTATGACACTAGATGAGGGGTTTTAATACACAATTATTTCTTTATAACATTGTATTTTGGATAAAAACATTCTTATTTTTTAAGTATAGCAAACTATGGTTATTGCTTACAATCTCAGTGGATAAGCTTCCTTATGGACATTTCTTCCAAATTGCCACAAATATAGGCTTTTTAGATATTTAATATTTTATTAATTGAAGATTTTAAAAAATCTGTAAAAACGCATTTATTTAAATGTGATTAGTGTTAAATTACCTAATTTTGACCATCTCAATTAAGGCTTAGTCAGGCTAAAATTGAATTATGCCTTTAAGTTGAGTCTCTAATTGAAGATTGATTGTAATAATTATGTTAAAAACATGGCTACGCTATTTTATAGTTGACTAAAGTTAGGTAGTTTATCAACTCTGATTGTGATAAATTAAAATTATCAGGATTATGATATTTTGTAGATGTTGGATAAAAAGTTTTTTTTGAAAAATAATCCACTGCGTAGACATGAGTATTTGTTTAATTTTAAAAAAAATTCATTTTAGAAAAAAAAGAAAATCGGAAATATATTAAACATTGTGTGTTCATAAATTAAAAAAATTTTTTAAAAAAATATGAATGTTTTAAAAAGTTATACAGAATTATATATTTAACTCAAGATATTATATGATTATAACATTAAGATTTAATTTTACTTTTCATTATGTAAAAGATCGTTAAAGGTTTAAGAAAATTTCGGATAGGAATGTAATCATTAATCGAAAGCAAAAAAAATATATATATAAATAAATGCTTATTCATATAAGATAGATCTGCTGACCCGCCCCGGATTATAAATTATTTTTAACTATATAAGAGCCGGGGCAAAAAATAATTTTTAAAATACCCGGGCCGGCTCGTATATTTTAAAACCAAATATTTAAAATCGCTATTATTAGCTATAAAAATAAGTCATGTATATTTTAAAAAAATTCCGGGTAGAGCAAATGGTACCTCTGCAAGTCTTTGACATATATTTCGTTAACCATTACTTGTGAAAAGAAGAATTTTTTTTTATATCAAGATTTTTAAATTGTTTATTTTAATTATATGTAAAAATGAGTTTTATTATATCATTAGGTGTAGTATGTTATTCGGCGGATCACAAGTTATACAATAATGTAAATGTTAGTAATTTTAATGTTCAAAATAATAATAATAGCTAGGAATGTCTATGAGCATTATCTAAACTTAGCACAAAGATTGATTGACGATTATAAACAAAATATGTAAAATAGATTTTTACAATAAAAAGTTAGGGTAGCTCCTTGGGTTAGGAGGCTTCCATGTAATTATTGGATTTATGAATGGTGATGGAAAGTAGAGATGCAGGCCCGGCCCGTACCCTACCCGAACGAGCTTTAAGTTTGGTTCGGGCCTAATATTTTTAAGAAATTCTGGCCGGGTCTTAGAAATTTTTTAAAATATCTAAATTTATCAATTATATGTTGAATTTTTTATGTAAAATAAAAATATGTGATTTTAGTTACAGAAAGTAGACGACAAATAACATATATCGTTTATTACGAGTAATCATAAAAATGAATTTCTATATTTAAATAAATTCGGGTCGTGCCAACATGATTTTATTAAAAAAATCTCGGGTTCGGGCCTAGCAAAACTTTATAAAATAAATTTTGGGTCGGGCTTGAAAAATTAGGCCCTATGCAGATCACTAATGGAAAGCCTTTGTCTTAGATAAAAACCTTCCCTGGGTTCATTGGTAATTTTACTGATGCGAACAGAGTTCTTTGAAGTGGTTAAAGCTCGGCCAGCAAATGTGGCTAATATAGAGAAGATTATAGTTATATATTTTAGACAGCTCTTTGATATCAAAGATGTTTGTGTTAAGATTTGTAGGGACAAGGGATCTCTACGGATTGAAAAAGACTTAGTTTTTTAATATATTGCATCATTTTTACATATAGTAAAATATATATAAACTCTAGCATGCAATCCTCTACATCATCGGGCCTATTTTTCAAGCCCAGTCCGAACCCGGATATTTTTAAGAAAATTTTATGCCTACCCGGATTTATTTAAATATAGAAAATTAACTTTTTAAAAATTTTTTATTTACTCAAAATAAAATATATATATCATGTGCCGTCTAGTTTCTTCAAATAAAATCTATTTTTATTTTACTTAAACTATTCAACATAAAATTGATGAATTTAAGAATATATTCTAAAAAAATTCCCAAAGCCTAACCTGATCTCGATTTTTTTTTAAAATATGGACCCGATCTGGAGCCCGTTCGGGCCGGGCCTACTTTTGCAGATCTCTTGTTTATATAACATTATACAATTTGAGCAATTTATGTTAATATTCTATGATGGGGAATCAGTGGAACTGTGGAGAAACCAAAGATTTTCTACAAAAAATAAAATTTTATATGTTAATAATTTATAATGTCAAGGAATAAATTAGATCATACGTCCCGCATAAATTTAGGAGACACAGAAGCAAAACCAATTTTAAGATGGTTGGGCAAACTTATTATGAATTTTTTTTTGTGTTGAAAAATAACCTAATCCCGAATTGAATCCATTATATTAATTTTATATTTAAAAAAATATAGATTATGTAGTAGGAAATTATTATCAGATTTGCAAGCCAGGCCTGGATCATATTTCGAATTTTTTAAGATATATCTATAGCGGGTTTAAAAAAAATACCCAAGTCAGGGCCCGAATAGCCATTTGCTAACTTTAAAAAATTTAATATAAATAATTGTTAAAGATAAAAAAATCCGGGTAAAACCTGAAAATATAAAACCCAGACCGGACCTAAAAAAATTATTTTTTTAAAATAAATTCTGTGATAATTATACTATTCCAAAAAGAATAGTATAATTTTTTTAGGGTCTTACTAAGAATTTTCATTTTTAGATCTTGGAAAATAACCCCGCATTCACAGATGGCACGATGAAGTATACAAAAAATTAAAGTTAAAATTGTTATATTTATATCATATTTTGTACACTTAACTGGCGAATTCGCGCTAAACGCAGGGTAATGTAACAAGGCAAGACCGCACAAAAAACTGTAGAGAACCGAAATATTTAAAGCTCGAGCTAATCTCTAGTCCAATTTCGTGATCTAAAATCTTTTTAAAATTAGACTCCGTAAATACGCTATGGGCGTAACTTGACGCTAGGGTCAAACTATATTATATCCTTTAACCCCAAATTTATTATTATCCATTGTAGGTATATAAAGTAATATTCCCCATTTCCAGTCTCACTCCTCAGTCAAAAAAAAAATGATTTCAAAATCGTATTTAAAATTTGTAGCCGTGGATAATGTTCCTAGTGGAGTTACGGGTGGACTTAGCCGCAACTCGATTCGAGTTCGCTTTTAGCAACTTTTACCGTACCTTCTAGAATTATTCAAACGACGCGCCTTTATAAAAAAAAATCATAAATTATTATTTTAATTACGAACATTAATTTTCTTTTAATTAATCATTATATATAAAAAAAAATATGGTCATTTTTATTTTTGTAAATTTAAAAAAAAAATAAAATATAAAAAAAATAAATCTAAAATTTCTAAAAAAAAAAAAATAGTGAGAAAAGGGAAGAGAGGGATAAAAATGGCGCGAAAAAAAATGTCATTTTTTTCATCTTTTATTGATTTCGTGATTTTGTTCGACGAAGAAATTTTGAACTGCATTGGTGTAGGATGACCTCATATCTTGAATTAATTTTTATTTATTTTTTTTAATCGAATATAAATATATAATTTACAAAAGTTCGCGCTAAATAAAGGTATAATTGGGTAATGGCTAAATGTCGACTGATTCGGCTCAATTTTCAGTCGCTTGCCGGGGAAAAATGAAGCATATGACATAATACAAAAATTAGTCGTTTCATGAAGAGATGATCATTAAAATATTTTAAGTGATATCATAAATTTCAGAAGTAAAAGCGGCGTATAGCCAAAATATGTAAGAAACCAGTAACTTTCATAAAAAACAATCAAATTTCGGGCTCAAGTTGTTGTAATGGGCTTTGTTCACTTTTAATAATTAAGAGAAATGTCTAAGAAATCAGATTGAAGATCTCGAGAACCAGAAAATTGGTAAGAGTGTATCACAACCTAAGATTGATTAAAAAATGTTATAGAAAATAAGATTGAATATAAATTAAAACAAGGTTCTGCCACTGGAGAGCGAAACATTAATTAAAGAATTTTAAAAAATAATTTAATATACATACATATTTTATCCTAAACAACATTTATTTGAATTTGACCATATTTGACTTGTCAAATATGGGTCAATTGACTGAATCTTATTTGACCGTAGTTTTCGGCTAAAAACTAGGTTTAGCAGACTAAAAATCGGGCTTAAACCGCTAAAAATATATTAATTTTACCCAACTATACTAAAAAAATGTAGAAACGGACTAGTAGACCCCACCGCGTACCCTACCCGAACTGGGTTTGCGGTGGTTCGAGTTTAATATTTTTTTTTAAAAAAAATCCGGATGTATATGGCAACTGAGCCAATCTCTGTTAGAAAGTATCGTTAATAGTAACGACATTCCTTAAGAAGTAGTAGGAAAAGACATTCTAAAAAAAATTTTTTTTAATAATGGGACCATTTTAGAAAAAAATAAAAATAATTTAATTTAAGGCACAATTTTTGGATTAAACATCTGACAAAATTATTAATTATTTTCAAATAATTTACAAACACTTTTTTGCCAAAATTTCATAATGGACAAGACTAAAGTAGTGTTAAAAGAGATTCAATAGGACGACGAGAAAACTAGATGATTCATTTTGTATAAGTAGCTCAACTTTCGGGTAATAACGCGAGATGTTGATCCTTAATTTTCCAGCACCATGAATTTATTTCACAGTTGATTGCAAAAAAGATGGCTCACATTATAGGTGCTAATTCCGAAATATCTTACGCGATTAATATCAGATAAATGACATCAAAATTGACACGTTTTGTCTTTATAAAAAAAAACTAATATAAACTTCCTGGAGTAATACAACTAACATATATTGGCATATGTCTATCACCCGTGTTTTAATTACGAGGCATTCAAAAAGTTTGATAAAAAACCCTTAAAACGGATTTGAAAGACAGGATTTCAGGGACGTGTACAATCCTAAAAAATTTCGGTAATTGTAAGTGAAACTAATAATATGACTCACAGGAATAAATGTAATTTTCAATCAGAGGTCCACAACAGGTGTTTTTTTATAATTTTTTGGGGGAAATTGGAGTTATAATTATCAAAATAAATCAAAGCTAAATCAACCAATCAAATAATATTATAACATTGGGCACGCGTGTTAAACAAAATTTTTTGATTGGACCTGCAAGGTGAATTTTTTCAAAAAAAAATTTAACCAATAGGCGAGTATTAGGTTAGGTTACATCCTCCCGACCCTTCCTTCCAAAATATTTCGGATATTTTTGAACAACTTTACTCACTAGTAACGTGTGGGTTCCGCAAATGTGTTCCTTTAGTGTTCATCCTTTTGTTGCTTCCAAAATTGGGGTGATTTCTAGTTTGCTGGTGATGCTGTTGCTGATGGCCCAGCATAGTTTTAATGGCTAGGTCATTTATGTTGGTATTCGAGCCGCTATTTTGCTGGCTGTAATTGTTGAAACCTCCGCTTAAGGCGTTTGCGTGAAAGGCCCCATAACGAGTGTTTTGAAGCCCTGGTTCACAAGTATTACTATTATTGTAGTTGCAATTGTTGTTATTGAAATTCTGTGAGTAGTAATTATTTGGGTCAGGCTTTCCGGGAGTAGCGGCAATGACGGCCATCTCTGGTTGGTTTTGTAGATATTGACCATCGTTAGAGGCGTTGTCGTAGTAGTAATAATTGTTACCACCGTTGACCAAATTCGGATCGCTATTGTTGACAATGGCGTCTTGGTAGTTGGTCGGGATCTGAGCATGAACCTGCTGTTGATCATAAACAGGGTTGGAGGAATCAAGGCCATTACTCGTTGTGTTATTACTATTACTGCTATTATTGTAAGAAACGACCGAACTCCCAGGGGTGTACCGGAAGTAAGGATTTTTGAGGTCGATTTTGGTGTTGGTGACAGTATTTCCGGTGGTCTGATTTGTTAGGGTCATTTCGACGTCATAGCTTTGCCTTGATAAAAGTTTTTTTTTTAAAAATAAATCTTATAATTTTGAATAGTTTAAGGATAAATTTTGAAGCGAAAGGTATCTCCCCCTTCCAAAAATCAAAGATTTAGTTGCACAAAAATTCTTTGCAAAGTAAGATCACAATTCAGAATGTCATCTGAAAGCGACTAAGATTCGAACTGTCGGTAAGCGGATCTTCTAGCATTTTTTAAAAAAATTCAATTATTGGAGATCAACGCAGACCATTCTACAAAAGGTAAAATTTTTAAAAAAAAGCTATTTGGCTGAAAATAGGATCGAGTTTAGAAACCAAATGTAATCCAGATATTTTGTCAGCCAGCTGACTAGTGTCGTTGAAAAGCCCGATTTTGAGTCGATTTTCTAAAATGAGCCTGAATACGATTTTAGCTAAAATAATATTTTGTAAGCGTCGTGATTTGGCAAATAAATGTCTTAGCATTCTACCAGCTAGTGTTGTTAAACGATTCCATTTGAGCCGATTTTTATAAACGGCTAACTAAATGTTTTATCCTAATGAATATTACGCAAGCCTGAAGATTTTGCTAGATGGCCCGAAGGTCTAAGCATCTAACAGTGAAATCTCGAGGCTTAGACAATATTTTTCCTGGTAAAATATTAAGTTAGCCGTTTTTAAAAATCGGCTTCAAAACGAGTCGTTCAATAACACTACTACCAGCAATGAAATCTTTGGCTCTACATAATGTTATTTTGGTTATAATCTTAATCGGGCCGTTTTTTAAAAAGATCCGAATAGGACTTTTTAACAACACTACAGCTGACAAAATAACTAGATGCCATATGGTTCCTTTGATTAGAATATAGGAATAAGGGCGTTCAATACAGTGCATTTGCGTCAAAGAATTGATATGTGAACAAAGGCTATGTTATTGTCATTTAATAATTTTACATAATTTAAGAAAACACTCGGTGTTTTAATAGTTAATATTACCTGGAATTGGACTTTAGGTGCAATTTTCCTACAACCACGTGACCGAAAAGGCAAAGAAGAGGCCGGCTGAACAAGCACCTCACCTGGTACCAATGGGTCAGGGGCTCGGTGGGCGAGGTCGATAGCCATATGGTTTGACTTTTGCATTACATATTAATTTTATTTTTAAAATATATTTCATTTTCCTTCCAAAATTTTTCACGTTATTTCTTCTGATCTCTAACCTCCTTTTTTTCAAAAAAAAGTTGATTTATTTCTAACAAGCAATAATGTATTAAAGGATAACAAAATCGATTTTTTTTTAAAAAAAAAAAGATTGGCAAGTGTCAATCGGAAATTCATTGTCAACAAAAAATTTTTATAACTCGTTCATTTTGTTAAATTGAGTCTTTTTGTAATTAATTTTCTTGATTTTTCGAAATTTCGTTAAAATAATATTTAGACATGTAATTAAGATACAACAATAAAATAAAGGTCAAATGTATCTCGATACATTATTGCTTATGAAAAAGTACATTAAGTTTAGTTTTTGGCGATGAGGTGAATATAAATGAATCCCGGGTTATTTAATATACGTTTGTCCAATGAAGGCAACATCGAACCAAAATGCCAGCCCGTGCAAATGGGACGAGAATTCTATCTCGTAATAAAGGTCTATGGTTATGTCTTGCAAATCGGCTTCTTGGAAGGTGATAAAATCGATAACGTACTTTACACTTTTAGCCATGCATATCCTAACGTCGAATGTATCCTTTATTTAATTTTATTTTATTTTTTAAGAAAGAAAAATTGAAACATCTTCGATATCTCCTTAACAGTTCTGTTTCGTATTTTGTTAAACAACACAATGAGATATTAAAAAGAAAGAAATACACATCAAAAAGAAACAAAATATATATCAAAAAGAAACAAAATATATATCAAAAAGAAACAAAATATATATCAAAAAGAAACAAAATATATATATCAAAAAGAAAGAAATATATATCAAAAAGAAAACAAAATATATATCAAAAAGAAAGAAATATATGTTGTATTCCATATTAAATCAACCAAAAAAAGTCGATTCTCAACCCGACCCCCTTCGATTTTTTTAGACCCCCTTCGAATTTTTAAAAAATTTGTATGTTGGTAGTATATACACTAACTAATAAAAATGTAAAATTTTACTTTTCAAATCGGCTTACTTCATGAGATATGGCCATCTTTAGAAACGCGAAAATTCCAAAATATAGTATATTTAATTAATATCTCAAAAAGTAGTTAAGCTGAAGGCATGATTTAAATTTTATTAAATAGCTCTAGAATAGCCCTTTAATATGATATAAAAATTATTTTATTAATAAAAAGTCTATAACCAAAAACCGGAAATAGCTATAAAATAAAAATTGCTCTTTTTTTTTCTTTCAAATTTTTTTTACAAATAGACATTATACTTCTTAATATTTGTACAAAACTTTAGATTGGGACCATTACTGGGCCAATAGTTATTACGCTTTAAATATAAATAGTATGGCTTAAATCCAAAATTATACCAAATATATAGTAATTTACGAAACAAATAAAAAGAAAATTCCTTTATGATCGGGCTGACTATATTTTTTTTACAAATGTTTCGGGCTGTCAGCCCACTAGTAGACATTATGTCATATTTAACATATAAGTTTAGCGATTTTATTTTAGAGAGAAAATAATTGTAAAAATATTTATAACTTTATTTAGCTAATTATTTATATTACATGAATATCAAATGGAAAATTAATATTGTTATAAACATATTAAATTAAATAATATCATACATTAAATTATTTATTGAATTAGAATAACGTTTGACTTTCATTTTTCCTTCCATTGGAATAAATGAATGATATTTTTGTGTCCCGAGAATTAGTTTGGCCGTTAAAAATCTATTTTCGAGATTGGTTTCCATTCTTAAATATTCAACGTTGCTGACAAATGTATAGTTTATACCCGGGATATTAATTCTCGCATAATTATATAAATCCATAGGAGTTAATATATGATTTTCATAAGGACGTTGCAGGCTTGCTCTAGCAGCTAACCTCTTTGTAATTCCCCCTAAACTATCGCAAGGAGTTTTGCCATGTGCAGTTGCAAAAAAATGCCATTCTGCCTTGATCCCAAAATCATTATAATGGTTGTAGAGGTTTGCAAAGTTTTTTTTGTTCTTATACTGGGTAACGGCTCCATCAAAAAAATAATAAATTTTTGAAATCTTATCAAATCTTTCTTTCAAGAATTGAATTAAATTTATTTGAAATAAATAAAAGGAACAAGTATTGTGTTTAAGACAATCTGATATAACTACATAACTTATATGCTTGATGATACCGCTTTCGCAGTAATAAATTATAAATGGATGAAGTGTTGCCTGATTATTAGTCCAATGGAAGCCTTGAGCGTGATCTTGAACTACAAAAGCGTAGTTCTCTGCAAAATCGGATATTATTAGATATTCCTCATCCTTCAAATTCGATTTTAATGACTTAAAAAATGAAGATTGTTCCAAAGAAATAAATGCATGAGGAATTAAAATATTTAATTTTTCAATCAAATACTGCACAAATTCGCTGGCGGACTTAGTTAACGTTTCGAGGGTAATACGGTCTGCCGCCAACCATTGTTTAAATGTTATATCTATGGCATTATTATCAAACAATAAATGTAATCTTTCTTTAAGTTCCAAAGTGCCGGGACACATTTGGCATTTCTTTAAGTGACAGCAAGGTTGGGCTGGATTGCATAGACTTTGTGCAATGTAATGTTTATAATCTTTTAAGGGAGGAAATGGATAGTTATGCTGGTCAGTTAACTGATTTAATTTACCCCCAATTATAATTAATTTAAAATTTTGATGAAATGTACAGATGCACATTGTATGCGTTCCAGACCTGCCTGCTAAAATACAGCTTTTTGGTATCGTGATAGCAAACTTGCTGAAACCTATCTTTATATTACTATTTATTTCTTTAAAATTGGTAAATAATTCTTTTATATTACACAAAACTAATCTCTTTTGTACTTGGTTCCTTTTTCCATTAACTTTCAGTGATATAAAATTATTCATACCTGGCATAAGTCTGCTGTTTTCGTCAGAATTATAAAATTCTATTACTTTATTTGCAGTGTCATCCGGAATTATTCTACTTGGTTTTATGATATTTGGGTTTGACAAAACACCCTTTTCTTCAACTAATTGTTTAGCTGTCCGGGCCATAAAATTTGTGGTTGAAAATTCCTTTTCAATTTTATCAAGAGTCCAAGATTTTGGTAAAACTGTTAAATTTTTCCCTGAATTTTCAAAAATTTATTTACAGGATATTTTTTTTCATTTAACCTTTTCTTTTTAATAGGTGTCTCACCTAAAAATGGCAAAGTTTCATTTAAAGTTGAAATTGAAGTATTAAAATCTATATAAGAGTCGGGATTATTGCATGGTTGATCAGGTTCAGAATCGCTAAATGTTTCAATAATAGTTGAGGTAGAAGGTAAGTTAGAAATAGAAGGTAATGTGATCGGGATCGTAGTAGTAAAAGGTGAGATCAGATTTGTTGAATATTTTTTTAATTTTTTTCCGGCAAGAGCTACAAATATTTTGATTAATTGATAAGACAGAATTCACTTCTATCATCCATTGTAAAACATTTCTGAGATCGTAACGTACTGAATGAGATTTCATTCTAAAGGGATTACAGCACTTTACTGGAATAGAAATAACTTTTCTAGACATTTAAATTTTTTTGGAAAGGAATAAAAGATAGCTATTAATTTTATATAAAATTAAAAATAAATTGGATAATGAATACCGATAATTTAATTTTCTTAGAAAAATGGCTTTATAAAATTAATCAATAAAAATGACGGCTGTTGCTGTTGGAATTGAATTTGATTTTTATGATAATTATTTTATTTGATAATTAATTATAAGTAGAAAATAATCTTTATGAAAATATATTTCTGACGATCACAAAAATAATTTTTTATCTGGCAAAGAAAATAATCTACATAATTCACTCATAGAAAGGTCAAAAATCTCGAATTAAAGAAGAAATTTTTTTTTTTTTGGGGGGGGGCGAATATAAATCTTAAGATGGGGTTCGGATTTCAGTTTTAATACTATTATTCACAAATATTATCACTTTTGTTAAAAATAATAATTACTCATTTCGTATAATATAGAATTTAAGCCATACTATTTATATTTAAAGCGTTATAACTATTGGCCCAGTAATGGTCCCAATCTAAAATTTTGTACAAATATTAAGATATATAATGTCTATTTGTTAAAAAATTTTGAAAGAAAAAAAAGGGCAATTTTTATTTTATAACCATTTCCGGTTTTTGGTAATAAAATTATTTTTAATATAATAAATTTTATATCATATTAAAGGGCTATTCTAGAGTTATTTAATAAAGTTTAAATTATACCTTTAGCTTAATTACTTTTTAAGATATTTAAAATTAAATATGGTGTATTTTGAACTTTTCGCGTTTTTAAAGATGGCCATATCTCATGAAGTAAGCTGAGTTGAGAATTAAAATTTTATCTTATTGCTAGTTAGTGTATATACTACCATCATGCAAATTTTAAAAAAAATCGAAGAGGGACGGGTTGAATCTTCAGTTGATTTGATATGGAATACAACATATACATTTAAAAATAAATTTAATAAAATGTAATTTTTTTTAAATATCGTTTTATAAATATATTCACTCCTTACAACGATTGGCTGTTGGAAAACTTCGGTTTGAGCTTCTGCCTGGAGACTCGTCAGATCCATTCCGTAAAACGAATTCTGAGACCTGAGAGTTATGGTGAGAAATAAAAATGAAGTTAAAGTATCATTTTTTTCCCCGTTTACGTCAAATGTTTCTAAATTTCAATTCAATCCATCCGAAACACATTTATTTTATGAATCATGATAGCTATAAAAATCTCTAAATATATCTCATCGTATTTAAACAATAATAATTTATCGTGCTCCCCTTAATCTTTCATTTAAAGGTAAATATACTTAATTCCCTCATTAAATGAACAAAACCCATTCTAGCAAGTATGGCATTCAAATCTAAGACGATAACTTAACACATAATCGGTATCCAATTTATAAATGAATTATTATAGGAACTAGGGGGCCTCAGCATTATGAGCTTATAGTAGTTTAGGGGGAAATGCTTAGAGTCTCTATCCATATTCAAGTATAGACAGGCTTGCTAAGCACAACCAATTACATATATCGCTAACCCGATTGGCGATTCCTTCAATTTAAAATGCATTTTGAAGCGTGGCTGAATTCAAATTAATTGGTACGCCATATTGGTTTTTAATATAAGAATTTTTGAAAATAAATGATTCTATTTTTTTTAAAAAATTCTACAAAATTTTTTTAATATTACATAAAAAAAATCAAAATGGCGTGTCATAACCAGCTGATTTGTATCGAAGTATATTTATCCTAGGTAAAAGTAGTATTATATCTCATCGATTTCAACATATATTAAGTAATATTTGTTTGACTTATATTTATGTCGTGTTAATAATAAAATTATTTTTTTTTAGAACTGCCAAAATTAAAGATTGGATCGGGCCGGATATTTACTGTAAGGATAATATATAATTAAATGAAAGAATGAAATCACAATTTATCAACCTTTTTTATATCTAAAAAATATATCATTTATTTTTAGGTATAATTCTGTTCCGGCCTGATAGGCTAGAGCTCAGTCCAAATTTTTTAATATTAATATTTAAATTTAACGGTATAAGGTTTAAATAAAAAATCGCCAATCGCTTTGTTCTAATCTCAGAGAAATTATTTTCTTAGCCAATGAGCATGGCGTAAATTTTTTTTGCCTGAGTTCAGTTTTGGTCCGATCTGCAGGGATCTAAATCCGCGTGACCCATATATTAAATAAGCACAAATTGGGGAGGGGGGGGATATTATTAAAAATGCCTTTTAAATGAGTGAATGAATGAAATCTATCATGTTAAACCAGAACGAGCTCCTATTGAACGTTTCCATGAAAAGGGCTTCGTCCGTGAATGGAGATATGTGTAGGTCTCCTTTGGTTGGGTACATCCGACCTGTATTAATGTTTTAATAAAAAATAAACAAATATTTTTTTTAGATGGCTATTCATTATGATTAAAATCTATTGATCCTTTCTGGTCAGATCCCTGTAGGCCCAGTCGGCAGTCTATTTTAAAAATGTAGAATACATTGTCTCTAACTTTCATCGATTCCAAAAACAACTTAACAAAGCAGCTTATATTCTGTAAAAAAAATTTGGTCTCAATATCGAGGCTTAGCTTAAAGGTTATAGCTGAATGATATAATAACACTAAGATCGAAATAACCTCAGGAAAACTGCGACCTTCCCTTCCTAATGCAAGCTGATCTCTGATCCAAAAAGTATATTTGTGGAGTGCACCACACCCCAAAATAGCTGGTGAAAATTCACTATCAGATTTTATCTTGGCCTGGGCCTTAAAAAATATTTTGAAAAATTTGTCCAGCCAAGGCCCGTAAATATTTTTATAATATAGATTGATTATAAATATGATGTGAATGATGCTAAAAAATAAGGAAATACTAAAATTTATAATTATAAAAGGTAAGAACATGCAAATACATTTTGTGTGTTAAAAGATAAGATATAGAGAAGAGAAGAGATATTAATTGATATCGACCAATTACATATTCGATATCATATCTGACTTTATATGCTGAAAACATATTACTCGTTTAATTAATAATGCATACATCTGTATATACTCATCTCTTATACTTTTTAATAGTATAACATCTATAATTATCCCATAGCATAAGTTCATCTAAATATATTACTATGATAGTTTATATTTGTGTATCCAAAATTATTTATATACTATAAAATTAATAGTGATAAATCACTTATTTGTATAAGAGCATTAATCCATTTACATAATAAGTAACAAAAAATAAATTTCAAAAATTTAAGGCGCTATTTTATCGGATAGTACAATATCGGTCGATAACCGATATTTAAAAAAGACGAAATATCGGCTCGATCCGATAAAATAAAAATATATCGGTAACATCCCTAAAAAATTAATAGAGAAGGAATAAAGTGGTGGCGTTATGATAATGCCAAATTCAAACCTCCAGGCCTAAGCCATTTTTTGGCGTGCAGGTAAGTCTCCAACATTCTCTCGTTGAGGAGCATATAACCCAGGGGTTCCGAGACGATGGTGTCTACGTATTCCGGTATTTCGACTTCTTCGACCTTGCCTCTCACTATTTTTATCACGCCTGAGAGACCGTTAGCTTCTATGAGTTTCTTGGGTGGAAAATAAAGAAGTAAAAAATTGTGATATAATATAAGATTAGAATTCAAAACTAATATTTTTATCAATAAGGTGAATTATCTTTAGGCCACGATTATACTCATATTATAAAGATATGAAGTTGTAAAGATTTCTCAATGACATATATAATACCTAGACTGACGATTCATTCATTAAAAGTGTACATCAATGCGAATCAGCTGGAGACGCCATCTTGGTTACACTATTCATTATTAAAATTTTAAAACGAGAGCCTAATTTATTCCTATATCTGATGCAAACTTTATTAAAGAATTACCGGATCATCGAGATAATAAGGAAGCAAGTTATCAATTTAATAGTAGTTTTTTAACATGAGTATAATTACTATATGTGTTACCAAAATGGCGGGTCCAGCTGATTTTCTTTAAACGACGCTTAAAAATGCATTTTAATGAATGAATCGTCAGTCTAGGTATTATATATGTCATTAAGATTTCTTAAAAAATCAAAATTTTAAGAGGGATTGCAACCGAGAAAGGGGGGGGGGGGGGGAGGGGGCTCTCTTTCAACACAAATTTGTCTGTTCAAAGCTAATAAAAATTTTCACCCCACAACCCTCTCTCTCAAAAACGTAAGCAATATATCATATATAAAGAAAGTAAAAGACAATATATCATTTATAAAGAAAGTAAAAGTTAATAATTTTTTTAAAATACTATAATTCAAGATTTTTAAATGGAAAAAAAATAAGCGAAAACTCAACATTATTTCAGGAAAATATAATATAGTCAAAGGACTACAATAAATGGAACTTAAAATCAATCTTAAATAAGATTTTTTGGGGGAAAATATAGCTGCTAATACCCCCCCCCCCAGCCCCTCTTACCAAAATTTTAGATACACCTAAAAAATATACTTCCAAAATTATTTAAAAATATAAAATATAACTTCTATGTGGTGACTATAAAAATTAGGAATAATGTTACACATTCAATTTTTTTCACTGGTATACAAGTTCCCAAAGTTGTTAACGCTCATTTTTAAAAGTAGCTAGCTCCCACTCCTACCTTCTCAAGAAGAGCTAGCTCTCGCTCCCGCTACAAGATTTTTAAAAGGAGCTAGCTCCCGCTCTAAGTAATGGAGTGCCACTCCATAACCGCCCCTTTGATTTTCATTTTTTTAGAAAGGTATACGAAACAAAATCATATTTTTTTATCAAAAAGTTTTATTTATATTAAATGATCTATCAAAATATTGATAACCTTTTATTAGCATTTAAAAGTAATAAATTTTCTAAATTAGAATCTAACAAACATCCATGCGTCTCCCCTAAGACCTCTTTTGCAATACTAAATAGGCGCTCCTCAGAAGCACTAGAAGTAAGCGAGGTATTGTATTTTGCAAAGATATTTTTTAATTATGGGAATTTCTCCAAAAATAGTAATTTTGGAATCATTATTTAAAAAATATTTGTCCAATATATAATCATCCTGATGATCAATTTCATGGAATCCAAAAAAATCTTCTAAATTATTTTGTTAAAAGAAAGATTTTTTACTTTTAAATGCTTTTTTAGATTGAAGCTCCTCACTTTTGAAAATTAAATAGTTTTAAGCACAAAAGACATTTTGCCCTTAAATTTGTTTGATCATTTGGACTAAAATCTTTTAGAAGTTTAAAATATTTTTTGTATGATGGAAATGGAAATTCGATTTCTTCCTTTATGATCTCTAAATCCATAATATCTAAAATTATTTTTTGTTATATATCTATAAAATTTATTAATATGACTTACAAGATTTTCCAAAAAATTTTCAATATAAAAAGAAAAAACTTGATGTTTAATATTTAAAATGATTAGATGATAAATCAATATAAAACTCGTATAAACATTTAATAATGGATAAATTTAAATAAAATTTTATTTTTGTTCAATTTTAATTAATAAATATTAATATGTATAAAATAATTTAATTTATACATTAAATTAGGAGCGATGGAGCAGCGCTCCTCCACTTTAGCACTAAAAGGAGCTAGCTATCGCCCCCACTCAAAGGAGTGGTGCTCCAGGTGTTTTTAAAAAATGTAGCGGCACTCCAGGAGCGTCGCTATTTAACAACTCTGCAAGTTTCTGATCCCGAAATTCTTTTAAATTACCAGCTGACTCCGGTACTTAGATTTGAAAAAATAATATATCTTATCTCTATATTTACCTAAAATGAATTATTCGTTATTTGATTCGTATTTTAGGATAAACAAAACTATTCGATTCAAATAATTTTTTTCTATTATTCAAATTTATCGCAAATATTTGACATTATTCATAAATATTAGAACTTATTTTCCTTACGGAACAATCCATATTTTTTTTAAACTTTATTTCTATATCTATAAATTATATTCTAAATTTTATTAATCTAATTTTTTTAGACAGTATTCAATACTTATTTCATTTAAAGATATTGTAGTAAATACATTATTTCTTAATTTTCTATATTTTACAAAATGCGAAATATGTTAATATATAATATATATATATAAAGAACCAAGATTTGGGATTTAGCTCTTTAAAAAAAACTAGTCAGATACAAATAGGGAAGAATTAGACACGGACTAGTTACCTGATTTGGTATAACTTTAATAAAAACATTGCCATGGTTTTTTTTAGTTCTTAATGATGGGTAAATATCATCCTAGCCTACAATGATATATGGCTGATTTCTCTCTTAAAGTATAAAGGCAACCCTGATAAAACATAAGAAAAAATTTCATTAAAAATCCCTGAGAATGGGAAGAAAGAAAATGGTGGTTATTTTTTATACTTTTAATATGTTGTTAAACGGGTCATTTTAAGCCAATTTTTTAAAAACGGCTAACTCAATATTTTAGTCAGAAAAATATTTCCCAAGCCTTGAGATTTCGCTAATAGATGTCCAAACCTTTGTTCCTTTTACAAACATAATCTTTAGGCTTGCCTAACTTTTTCCTAGGTAAAATATTGAGTTAGCCATATTTAAAAATTGGCTAACTCAATATTTTATTCAGCCAGAAAAGGATTGCCTAAGCTTCAAGATTTCCCTAATTGACGTATACTTTTGTGGCATATATGAGCAAAATCTTCAGGCTTGCTTAATATTATTCTGAATAAAATATTGAGTTAGCCGTTTTTAAAAATTGGCTCAAAACAAGCCGTTTAACAACACTAAAGAAATTGATGAATTATATCTCTATATATTTTTAATATATAATTAATATTAATAATTTTTTTTAGACAGTTAACAAAAAAAAGTAATATTGGTGCATCTATGATTTACTTTAAGTTTGTTTTTTTGAGCAAAATTTTGATTAAAAAAATATTTTGAAGATCATAAAATTGTAGATTTAGGACCAATTTTTTTAACAAAAATAAATAATTGTGATTTCATCATGAACGATTTTTTATGTAATATAAATCACAAGAGACACATTTATAAAATATTTTTTTTTACAAAATATATTTGGAATTTTATATAAAATTTGACCAAATGTTGCTAATCTCAAAAAATTTTAAGATTTTTTTTTATTGAAGAGATCATTTCAAACTCTGGATTTATTTATATATTATACTTGAGCATAAACTGCCATGGAACTAGCTTCCACTGCATAAACTGTCTTGGCTCCACAATTAGCAGCAAAAAAGGATAAAATACCTGAACCAGCTCCAACATCCAATATAACCTATGTGTGTATGTATATATAAACAAAATGAATATATGAAAATTAAAAAGTATATTATATATTTATTTATATATGTTTCAAGATATAAGTATTTCCATTAGATAAATTAAAACTAAATTTCAAGATAAAAATTAAAATTCATATATAAAATGGAAATTAAACAAATTCCATGTTAAATTAATTTGTTTTTTAAAGTATGTAATGTGATTGTTTGCAGAAAATCTTTAATATAGAGATAATCATATTTCAATATAAATATTTATAAAAGGATAACCATTAGTCATAGTTTTATAATACATTAAATGATTTATTACTTTATCTTTAAAATCTAATGTGTTTCCAAATATGGCTCTATAATATGTGTTAGTTCTTATATAATCTTGCATCATATTTTGTTGTTGACTGAGGAGGCTATAAAACTATTTTTTCAATAAAATTATATTCTTAATTTGTATGAAAAAAATAATCTAATTACATGAAAGTATTGAACTTCAGATGTCTCATCAGTTCTCATGGTAAATACATTTTTATTTTTGGTTGGATTTAATGAGCAATTAAGAAAATTTAACGCTTTTTCAACATCTACAAAAAATAATTACACCATATTTGTATAAAAGTGTACCTTGTTCATTTGGAAATTTAATAATCATATTACAACAAATAAGTGTTGTGGCACCATAATTCATAAAACTATTTTTTGAGGATAGTTTAATATTTTTAAAGGGATTTTTTTCTTTGTCTATAGTGAAAGATCATATCATATCAAATAATCGATTAAATACCGTGATATAATTGAATAACTACAAAATTTCCATGAGATATTAATTTAGCAGAATCGATATTATCATCTGATGATATAGTACTAAATGATTCATTAGTAAATGATACTGAAAGAGGTTTTAAATTTAAAGAATCCATAACTTAAAATATTAAGAAAATCAAAACATTATGAATGAATGTGGATTAATTAGAGAATTCTAAGTTGACTTATAGCAAACTCGATAAACTATATCAATTATTTTTATATCTAACATTTATATTATAAAGACTACTAGAGCAAAGCCAGATAAAACAGCGGCCTAAGATAGATGAAAATTTTACAGAGGGCCAGGTCAAAAAATATAGGCAGAAAAACAATAATTTATTAAATAACTGGGTATATAATCTTTAATTTTTTTTGGTTTACCCGGACCTAAATCTGATCTATAATTTTGATGAACCTGAACCAAAAAGATATAAACCTAACAAATTAAACTCCATCTTAAATATGCAATACATAATATTATTTATACATTTTAAAAAGATGATATTTAAAAGGTAATAATAATATTTTATTTCATTGCTATCTCACTTTTATCATATTTATCTCCCCGGGCCTTAGCATTTTATTAATTTTTTATATATTTAATAATAATTAATCTACAGCACATGTCTATCAAAATACTTTATTACAAAAAGAATATTATAATCTTTTTCATTTTCTTAACAAAATTAAAAGATACTTTATTATATTTTTATTAATTTTTTTGTGGATATAATTTATTATTATTCTTTCTCTCAGGCCTAACTATTTTAAAATATGTGTAAAATTTACAGTACAACAAAAATACCTGAGAAAATCTAAAACTTTAATCAAGATAAATTATTTTACTATAGATCGATTCATTCATTAAATTCATAAAAGGGAATGATCTATACAACGAACAAAATTTATTAAAATACAATGTTTATTTTTCAATATAATTAATGGAATCATATCACCGATCTACTATATAAATCCCCCCAAGGATGGGACACCTAGTTGAGTTTAGGAAAAATAAAGAACTCAAACTATCTCTTTGTGATACACGCACTGAACGGACTAGGCGACAGAAACTACTCGAATGCATCAAAATTTTTATTATATAATGATAAAATTACAACGCTATCTAATATTATAGTGAAACAAAAAAAAAATTTATAACGTTTAAAGCTATATATCATTACCTTATTAAACTTATGAGTTAGCTGTAATTTTCACGAGTTTAAATAAAATTAATGTGGATTCTTATATAAATAAATATATATTTGATGGACGCGTTTAATTAATATTCATCCTTGACTAAGATAAATTAAGTAAAACATAAAAAAATTTCATATGTGAGTTTTACTTCAGTCCATACCATATTAATAAATGATATTGAACTTGAAATGCCTATATAAAATTTCGAATGAATATTTAGATTTGGCAGCTTTCGCCAAATTAAACATAAGTGGATTTAAATCAAGTTATTTTATTGATGACGGATGTTAACTTTTATTTCTCTCTATAAAAAAATATTAAAAAACAGAGACCTGCAAGCCTGGCTTGGGCTGTACCGATCGGGCCATATTTGAGAGAATGGGCCTTAATTTTTTGACCAAGCCCAACCTAACAGTAAATAAATTTTTTTGGCCTATGCCCAGCCCATATTTAATGTTAAAAAAATTCTTAAGTCCATAATAAGTATCACAAAAGTTTCCTGAGCCCTAGCCCAAACCCATACACAAATTTAATTTTTTTTAATTTAATTAAAATTAACAAAATTTAAATATATTTAGGCAATCATTTTGTTTACACTACTGAAATTTATTATTATTAGAAGAAAAAAAGTCAATATTTCATTAAAGTAGCAACTGTTTTAAATAATCTAAATTTAATAATTTTAGGCCCAAGCCCATTAAAAAAATTTTTTAAAACACAGGCCCGGCCCAGCCCAGCCCTACTAGAAAATATAATATTAGCTGGTATTGGCATGCAGGGGCCAGCCCATGAAGATCTCTGTCATATTTTAATTTTTTAAATATAGCCAGGCCGAGCTAGGCCTGAAAATTTTTTAAAAAAAATATTCAGGCCATATATTTTAAAACCAAATATTTGATATCACAATTACTAGCTATTCAAAAATAATTATAATATATTTTTAAAAAAAATAAATCTAGGCTGGATATTATTTTGTGGATGTCTTTATATGATGGCATTTAATTCAGGATGCAACTTAGATGGGGATGCCATAATGTGTAATAAAAATAAATAATATAACTAAATGAGCATGTAGATTTTCCTACAATTTAATTCAAATGATGATAAATAAATTAACAGGAGTTAATTCGAGTGCTGCTTATAACAAACCTCAGTAGAAAATACTATACTTGGTAAAATAAAAAAATTAAGAAACAAACAATAATGCCAAACAGTCAGGATAACCAGTTAGTAATACTACAAATTAAAAAAATAAGGTTATACGTGATTATGAAATTTTTAAACAAAAATATAACTGATTGTCAAGAAAATAAAATAGATAAGATTCTTTTGAAAATATTGAAAATAAAGTATCTTCAATACAGTTACAAGTATCTTATTAAAAATGTGAAAGATAGTGAGTACATGAAAAAAAGTCTTTTGTATCTTAGTTACAATTTTATTCTGTACTGCACAACTCTACAATAATTGAAAGTTGTATACAATTTATATAAAAATAAACATTAAAATGATTTTTGAGATTCTGAGTAATATTGGATCATAATTTCAAGGTCTTTGCAAAGAAGAATAACAGAAGTGTACATGAACCAAATATAAACTTTAGCATATATTTTTAGAGCTCTGTGATATATCTGCACTACAGTAGATTTGTTGTCTAGAAAAATTCTTTCTTTATGCACATAACAGCAATTATTATTTTTAAAGATAATACCAGAGCCTTGGCATGTAGGAGAATAGCTGTTATTAGATAATGTTTATAGAAAGTTCAGGATTTAAAAAAATTTTATAGTTACAAATACCACTTCCAATTTCTCTGATCAAATATTGAATATTAAATAATCCTGACAATTATTTTGAGGATGGCTTTAAAATTTAATGATGGTTAATGCAATATTTTTCATGCTATATTCTAGTTGCTACTAGAAAAATTCAATTATTTTATTACCTCTAAGCAATTACAAATAAATGTCATTTGAATTAAATATAAGCTTCATATTTCAATAAAAACATATTCTTCCATATATAATATCCAAAAATACAAACAATAATTAGGCTAATTTTGAAATTGTTTCTAAAACTTCAATGCCAATTGCTAATTCTGCCTTTTGATCTTCACTTGCTTTACTCATTTCTTGTTGATAATGATGTAGAGCCTCTTTACAAGCCTAAATATAAATTTAATCATAATTTTTAATTTTTAAAAATACAGATTGATCAATATAATCCAAAGGTATTGCCTCTTCTGCCAAGACTTGACATGTTGAATCAGAATTAATAGTCACAGTCCCACTACTCACTTAAAAAAATAATTTAAAGTATAAATTATAAATACCAAATATATCATTTATTTTTCCATCTTCTTCGAAGACCTTAATCACACCTGGTTTTAACAAGGCCAAAATAGGAACATGATTAGCCAAAACACCAAAATTCCCACTAAATGAAGGTATATCTACTTGTTTAACAACTTTTGAATTATAAAACACCTGTAAATTAATTTTTAATAACATTTTTTAATAACATTTTTTAAAAATCGAAATACTTTAGTAGGCGATGCCAAAGTTAAGTGAAGTTGATTTACATCGGCATAAGTACGAACAAATGTTAAATAAAATTTTCTTAAAGTTGAAATCCTCAGCATGCTGAAAAAAATATTTTTGAATAAACTGTACCTCCCATAAATATGGATGACATGACGCTTCTGTTGTCAATATATAAAATATGACATGTTAAATAATCCTATGTAATAAATACAGGCTTGTAGACAGGAATTTTCTATGAGAAAGGTGTTTCAAATTTTCGTGTAAAAAATATTAGAAATATAAAAATTAATTTAATTTTTGTAACAATTTAAAATAGTATATAACTTATTCGAAATAAAATACGAATTTCACAATTAATGAAAACGGTATATATATTTTTTCATAAATTTTTAGTAAGGGAGGGATTTCCACTCCATTAGTTACCTACCCGATTAAATGAGGATATTTTTTAGGTTAATGATAATTAGAGATATATTGCCCAAGGGGGAGCGAGAGGCTAAGCCCTCATCTAATTTTTTTTATTTTTAGCACCCCTTTCCAAATTTTGAGAAGTGATTGAGACCCTTCCCCAAATTTTTTAATACTTTTTTAAAAGTGTTAAATTTGAATCCCTTTTCTCGTGATTATTGTTATAACTTAAAAATTATAAAAAATCAAAAATTAATTTTTTTTAAATATTATTTTTATAGCTAGATTTAGGGACGTCACTAGCCTTTACAATCTTAGGAAACTTAAATAATTTTTTTTTAGGTAGCATCATCTAAAATTACCTTTTTTAGCTACCATTATTCAAAATTACTTTTTTTCTTTAGATAACATTATCAAGATCATTTGTCATAAAAAAAATATAGGATTTTGAAGGGGCTCTTGAATTTTTTTTAGGTCGAGCCCATGCTTCCCCCACCCTTAGTGATACTACTGACCAGAAGATGAATTTATAGCATAAAAGATAGATAAGCAAAATGTTTTATTTTGATATCTCTTTTAATAATATTTATTTATCAAGTAAAATAAAAATTTTGATTTCTATCATTTTAATATTATTTCTATATAAGAAATCGTCATAAATACTAAAATAATATATAAATGAAGGCTGATAAAAACAATTTGATTGGAGAAGCAAATCCAATAACAATCCCTAACATGACAGATTTTTAAAAATTTTTATTTCTTGAAATATTTTATAAAAAATAGATATCATTGAACTATTATTTATAATAAACAGTTAAAACTATTCTGAGCATCGCTGAGACCAAAATATTTGAACAACTTAGACAGTTACCCAATTTATCAAGACTCTTAACTTTAAAAAAAAAATTTCACTATCTGTTATTTTTAGTTCAAGCTAAAAAGTGATATTCAATTTAAACCATTTAATTTTTGTTAATTCATCAATCTAAATTTTTTAAATAGGTTGATTGTTAGTTTAGTCTACTTTTCAAAGAAATAATAAATTGGAATATTTTTTTATCAAATTATTCGTCGTCCTTTTGTTAATGAACCATTTTTTTTATTGATTGACTGATATATTTAAAAAATAAATTCAATAAGATATTCCTAAAGGGAAATTTATAAAATTTCTTAAATGTGTCGATACATTTACCCTTTAGCGCTGCCGAGTGCAAAAGGGGCATTCATTTTATAAATTTTATGATGACAAATAATCGAGCTAATTTAAGATTAAATAATTTGTACATCGGATTGGTAAGCGACGCTCTTACCGACTAGGCCAAAATGGCTTTCCAAAAATCACGATTTTTTATATATATAATAAATAAATTTGGTAGTGCCTATCCAAATGAAAAAAACTAAATACAAATTTGATAGGTACTACCTTAAAGTAGTAAGCATCATTAACTTTATTTGTCGGTCCACATATCAAAAGTTATAGCACAAAATTTAGGACTTATATTAATTTATTCACATATATAAGCTTTCATTGATACACATCATCTAATCCACTCCGGCTCTTGTTCTATCTGATAAATCTTTTGAATCTGAAATAATGCCATATTTATACATAATAAAAAGTTAATAATAAAAACATTATGCCTTAAAAAATTCTAATTATGGGAAGTTTTATTTAAATATTCAATTATAAAATAATTAATTCTATTATAAAATAATATGATTTTTAACAGTTAAAATAAAAATTAAGATTGCCCTATAAAGAATTATAATGATTTTACAAATACCCTTTAGAAAATATTGCATTCCATTATTATTTATAGAATAGAATGGCATTAAATCCTTGCTACACATGAGAATATAATTCCTTACCAGAATACATTTTTTATCTTTTATCAGTTGTATCTTTTGCAATGGGTTTGAAAAATATTTTTAAATTTTGTTTAGATATTTATTTATTCTTTACATGATAAGTCATGTCAAGTATATGTTTTATAATGTTTGATGTGGTGATATTTTTTGAAAAAGATTTAATTGGATAACTAATTAAAAAATTCACAAATATTTTTAAAATAATCAGAAAATTTACTCTGAAAATGAATAATTATTTTCATCCTCACCAACTTTATCAAGTGCTATTTGCAAGGATATATTACAAAAGACTTTATCTGTAGCAACACTGGTTCTTTTATTATATGTATCAGTTTTTAATATCAAGGATCCAAAATGTTCCATGCAAAAGTAGGTTTAGCTTGCAAGGATATACTGTATTGTGTCACAGGGTATTGCAATGCTGCATCCATTATAATTGTTTTAGTCCTGCTATTTTTATATATGTTATAATGGAAATAAAATAATAAACATTAATTAAAATTTCATTTTTGATAAAAAATAAATTTTATATGGTAGATTGCATTAAGAAAATATTGTATTACTCCTTATATAATAATTCATGGTCTTATAAAAAATATTTGAAATATCAAAAATAAAAGAATAAAAGAATAAAAAGAATAAAATATATAATAATATTTCAATACCTTTTCTGTTTTACTATCCTAATCTTATCTTGTCTAGCACGTTGATCACGGACATGCCCAGCGAGTTTGTATTATATGGATTGATACAAATCAAATTTATAGCAAATATCATTTATTAATTTAAAAAAATAAAATCGCATTTTTTTAAATAATTCAAAAAAAAATATTGAACAATATTTTTCTTCTAATTACAATTCATAAATAACACATAAAATTAATATTATTTTTAATAAAAAAAATATGTATCGCACATCGGAGGCGGCGTGTTGAGCGCCGACACTTTTTTGGCTAGGCGTCGGCGATTTGACCGGCGGCGCACATGTCTACACATGCGTCGCTTGTTTTAAGCCTTCCTTTAACTCAAATTCTTTGGTTAGAGCGGAAATTAAAAAATTAATAACTTAAGTAGCATACCTAATATCACTGTATTAATGGCGTTCGGATAAAGAGCCCGGGAATAATTATTTTGCTTAATTTCAAGTCATCCTCCTCCGGCAATATTTTATCTCTGGTCATAGATTTCAATTAAGATATTCATGTCATATTATATATAAATCCAAGATGCCATTACCAAGAGTTTTCTGGGGTTTTTTTTTAAAATAAAATATAAAATATTTCTTTTTTAATAAATTCTTATTTGTCTTTTTAAAATAATTATATTTTATTTTGATAGAGTTTATATTGTAATTTCTTTCTTTCTTTCTTTCTTTCTTTCTTTCTTTCTTTCTTTCTTTCTTTCTTTCTTTCTTTCTTTCTTTCTTTCTTTCTTTCTTTCTTTCTTTCTTTCTTTCTTTCTTTCTTTCTTTCTTTCTTTCTTTCTTTCTTTCTTTCTTTCTTTCTTTCTTTCTTTATCTTTATCTTTATCTTATCTTATTTTATTAATTTTCATTTTTTTTTTAAATTTCAATTTCAAATATTTATTTAGTTTGGAAAAATATATATTTAAAAAAAAACAATACATTAAAACTTTATAGGGAAGAAAACAAAAATTTTAAATATAAATATAGATAAAATTAAATAAACTAAAATATTTGAAAAACAAAGTGGGGAGGGTATTAAAAATTTATATAGTCTGACATAGAAAAATAAATAAATTATATTTATTTTTTCGGCCCGACACTTGCACTGTTTTTATCATAAGCCCTCATACAACAAAAACCTACTAACCTTGACTAAAAAACTGGAGTGGCCGATCGTCAACCCAACCCGAAGACCGGGCCAGGCGATAACATCGCCAATTAATTATCGGCCTATCTTGATCCGAGCTCGAAAAATATTATTTTTTACATAAGAAAAAGTATTTTTTTAAAGAAAAATATCATGATTTCGATAATATTTACTAATAAATTTCTTAAACATATTTATATAAAGAATAAAATATATAAACAATTCTTATATTATTCAAAATTATCGCTCGATACTGGAATTTTTAAATTTAATGTATAACATTAAAAAATAGAGAAATGAAATTTAAAATTTCGAGTTTGAGATTTTTCCCTTATAAAATCTTTCAAAAATTCTAGCCGCTGGGCCTCAACTTTCAAGGGTCTGATGGAACCCAGATCTAAAGAAAAAAATAATTTTGTCAATGGGGCTGGCTATCTTAGAGCCTTAAATTTAGACTTCACCGGTCTCTAACATAGACTAGCGATTCCATTAATTTGGCTATAGTAGAACGCCAATGAAAGGCATAATGCCTAAATGCTTTATGGTAAACTTCAACGTATGTATATATTAGCAGGCAGTGTTTTTTTCTCAATTTTAAATCATTATTTGAAGCAAGTTTTTAAAAACTTAAAAATTTGATTTTACTATCATGTTTGAAATACCTACCCTATAAAATAACAGGCAATTTCGCCGTAAACTTTTGAACATAATATTATTTATAATAGTTTTTCCATAGATTTTTTTTTAAATATAAATTATGAATGACTTCTAGGTTAATGATAGAATTGGCTACAATTCATAAGATAGGTATTCTGAACTTGCTAAAATACATTTTCGGTAATTTTTTTATTAAAAAAACGCGCTCAAAAAATGATTTAAAGTTTAAAAAAATAACACATTACCTGGAACATCGCAGCTAACATATACACTTTGTAGTACATTTTAAAGAATAATTCCTCAATCTTGGTTAGTAATAATGGTATTGGTAGTGTTGCTAAACGGCTCGCTAA